GAATGATTCTCTCTTTCTCTCTTCTCTCTCTCTCTCTCTGAACTCTACCTGAGTCTTTCAGTTGTCAGCTTAGGCTCTCTATTCTGTAACTAGCAAGCTGTAGCTGTTACCTAGGGACTTGATAATGCTGTGACTTCAAGAACAAAAATTTAAAAAGAGGTGATTAGTTTTCTTTTCTCTGTTAATTCACAAAATTGTCTCTAGCCTGAAAATGATACAAATATCCAATATCTCTTTGAAAACTTTTGAAGAAACTTGCAGACTTTGCCCTTAGCTAAGGCATATGCCATTAAGAATTTTCTTCCAGTGAGACAGCATCTGGTTCTTAAAGAGATACCCTGTGGATCTCATTTGCCTAGCTGCACTCCAAACACAGGAAGAAAAGGAGGAGGAGGAGAATGAGGAGGAAGAGGAGGATGAGAAAGAGAAGTGATGGCAGTGGACAGAGCAGAATGATTGCATTATTGTACGGAGATGGAATTTGCTTGACTAATACCATACTGTGATGTAAATGAACTCCTTGTAGAGCCCATGTAATGTTGGCAGTGTCTGTGCCTAAATATTCCATGTAGTCTAAAGAATAGATGTCCAGTCACATTGAAATCTTTGCTGTTGGTCTTAATTTTAGGGAACAGGGTCTAAACTCCATCTGGAGATGGAGATGACTGAGTGCTGTCGGGAAATAGATCTTTTTATTGTTAATGAATAACTATGTTTATAATGGCTTTCAGTCTGAGAAAGCAACTCTGCCACAGAGTTTATGCACTTTGGCCATCTGTGGGTGATATGCAGAGATGGAAGAGAAGCTGCAAAGATACCTCATTAAGATTCCATTCTTTTCCGAACATAGGCTCATACTTAGCTGCCCAATAAATTCTTAGTATGTTTAAATTTGGAGTGCATGGTTTGAAATAAATGAATGAAATTCACAGATTGAAGCAAATCTGCCTTCATTTCAATGTTATTCACCATTGCCTTACCAAGCAAGAGAAAATGCCTTATTCAGTGTCCAAGGTATCAGAAGTGATCACTTCAAACTTTTTCCCCCTTCATACTGGGGATTTAATTTATAGTCTTGTGCATGTCAGGCAGATGCTGTGCCACTGAGCCCTTTTGTTGTTATTGTTAAGATAGGATCTCTAGTCCAGCTTTCCCAGGCCTTGGAGTTGTTAGTTTCCCGAACAGCCTTCCATCCGCGTACCATGAAGGCTAACAACATTGCCATTCTATGCTGGATGCATTTAACTTAGTTTTTATCTTATAAGAGCTCATAGTTAAAATAATGATTTGACTCTTAGGTGGAATTTAAAGTGTTGGGCTTGAAACTGTTGGAATTGTTAAATACTATTGTGACTTTTGGATTAAAATTGGGCTTAAAGAGAAGATAAGATCTCTGAGCTACTAAGGCTTGCCCTGAACTCCTTAAAGTCACTCTGTAGCCTAGATAGGTCTTAAATTTATAATCCTCCTGCCTCAGTCTGCTTGGATTATAGCCTGTACCACCAGGAATGTCTTGAATCTTTTGCTCCTATTCTTGCTCAAAAACCAAAGATCTTCTTACCCACTTCTGCCCCTGGATGTTTCATCTTACTATAAATCCTAGTTAGCTTCAGCAGAAGTACAAAGAAGACATCTGCTACTGTGATACAACTACCATAAACATAACTCCACCCCTCTGCGGACACTTTCTTGGAAATACTCACTTCCAGTGCCTCTGCCAGAGTTCAAGTTCAAATTTGGCACCACCATTTTTTTTACTTCTCTCCCTAGCTTCTTACCAGTCCCTCCAGATCCAAAGTTTTCTGTCTTAGAAATAAGGACCCACTTTAAATTGGTTTGTTTATATCTAAGCCATACTCTCAAAAGGCAGTGTTCACTGACATCTCTCTTGATGACTGACAATGTTGAGTAACACTTACATGAAAACTCCTTGTGCTTGGATCAACCTGTGACTTACCATGCATGCCAAACTGTGTTTTGCAAGTTTAAACATATCCAGAGTGTAGAGAGCATCTAAACATGAACCTTGGGTTAGAAGAGTCCAGAGCATGTTTCTGGCCTGAAGCGTCATCCGTGCTGGTTGTTCTTCGGAAGCTGTTGCTCTGGCTCAAGGTGACCCACCATGTTCTTCCCATCTTAGGCCGACTCTGGGAGTTAGAGGAAGGTAGCCTGGTTCACAATCAGTAGACGTGAACTTAGTGAGTGTTTATTTTTGTTGTATCCCAGATGGGAATTGTTACACTCCTGGCTTTCTTGGAACTGCTCTTTGTCAGTAGCTGGAAGATGAGCTTCAGTAAAGGGCCGAGCAGCAGGAAGCACGATTCTCACCCCTCTGAGCACAGCATTCCGTCTTCACAGCTACCTGCAGCACAGCATTTGGAGCTCTGCTTTCTCTCTCCTTCCCCCTCTTCTGTCATCAGTGTTGACAACACCCACAGGGTTTACAGTTCATGTGTGCATTAGTGATTCAGCACAAACCAAAGTAACAACAGGCAAATCAAAGTTAGACAATCTCTAAAAATAACACAAATTGGAAAAACTCCAAGATGTTTAAGCCATTGTGATTTCCTAAGCCACTTTGATATTATACTTTTGCAATATATAACAAGAAGTTTGATGATTCAACTCATTTCCACAACATTTTTACCATACCATTTAGTCCACGTTTAAAACAGAGACTTCTGGCCTCGCATGGTGACGAATGCCTTTAATCCCAGCACTCAGGAGGCAGAGACAGGCAGATCTCAATGAGTTTGAGGCCACCCTGGTCTACAAAGCAAGCACAGGACAGCCGGGATTACACACAGAAACCCTGTCTCAAAAACAAACAAACAAAAAAAAACAAATAAACAAAAACAGACTTTTGTTTTTCTTTGCATAAAGTCATGTGTTATGTCTAAAACAAGAAGGACCCTTGTTTTCTCAGTTAGTTTTTTATACCTTTGATGGTATAAAGTAAATAATAGGCTGACATGTTTTCTTTGGATTCTCAGCAGAATTTTAGTTGAAATCAAATAATATTTATGAAAAAAATTAAACATTTTCAAGCATCACACAGAGCACCTGTGCTTCCCTGAATATTTCAGTTGTCAGGGTTAGTTGTGCTAATTATGGAAGGAATATGCATGCCCCTTCTACCCATCATTTACTAGTAATACAAAAGTAAAAATCTGATGGCACAATAATAAATAGTTATGGTTTTCATTCAAAAATCATAAAACAATTTACAATTCTAGAATTGCATGATTCAGCCATTATTAATAACTTGAACTGATGAAAGAGACCAAAGAGGCAACTGCAGTAGACTAATTCCCGGCTAGGGAATCACTGACCCTGGGTTGAAGTCCTTGGCGTTGACTATTTCTGGTTGTGAATTTAAACCAATAAATGGGCTTTTTGTTTTCTCATTCAGTAAAGGAGGGCTGGGATGGCTAATTTTTGAGGCACTTTTGACTTTCTAAGGTCTGTGATCTTATGACCAAAGCCAGCAAGTTCTTGGATGTCACTCTAGTCTTTGCAGGTAAGTTATTTTACTATGCTGTCTGCAGAATCGGCCTGAGAAGAGAGCACAGAGAATCCCGTATGTAGAACAGCTGCAAATGTTAATTTGACCTTCTCGTCTATCAGTTCCTTTTACCTGGTGTTGTAAGTGGCCCTGCTGCCCCTCACACAGGTACAAACAGGAGTTGAATCGTTTTGTTCAGGGAGCCAGTGATCTGAGAAGATAGTAGACAGCTATCCTAAAGATCTTTCTCACATCTCACCTCCAGCCTGCATGTTATGTAAGGATGGAAACAAAGGCAGTCAGCTGTTCCAAGATTTACTCTCATCCCTCTGGTAAGGTGGTCAGTCTTGTCTCTGAGATTTATGATGCTGGTAGTTTTCGTCTTACGGTCTACTTTCTGTGAGCAGGGGTCACAAACATTAAGGTCACTGGGTCTTGGGTTCCTTCACTCGTTTGGTGACATCCACACTGAAGATTAGCTCACCAGTGGAAAAGGACAGTGCATCCTGTGAGCTGGGAGGCAGGATTCAAATCCCAGTTCATTCAAAGTCCATGGAGAAAGTTTTAGATCCATCAGAGTTTTCTTGATGTTGTATGTAAGCATAAATATTTCACTTACTATCAAACCCAAATTACTTTAGGTTCTTTAAGGGCTGTGAGCCCTGGAAATGGACATGTAGGGAGGTAGTTTGGAGGATAGAAGAGTCTTTATGCTGTGAATAATTCCATTTCTCCCTTGTCATAACTATACCACCTGAGGCTAGGCTTCTCTGAGACCCATCACTACAGTTGCAAGGCATGCTAAGTTGGGACCATGGTTTTCTGTCTTCTGAGCCTCCTGCACCATGAAGGTAGTCTGAATAATACCATGACTTGAAGAGAGTCCTTAACAAGTTTCCTTGGTGTCTTCACAGAGAACCACATGAGTGCATGCGTGGGTGTGGTGGGGTGTGTTACTGAACATTAAAATTCTATGCTAATTAGTAACAAACACTATAAACTCTGAGCTGTAGCCTATAGTTTTTATACCTAGTCTTAATGATTACGTGTCCTTAGATCTAGGTGCTAGGATCTTTTGATTCTTCTTAGACATTCCTCTGTCTGCACACATCACTTCACTTCTAAGATAGCCTGTAGAAAATATATATGTAATAAAAATGACACTAAGTTCTAAAGTTTCGCATGCATAGATTACCTGTAACCTAACAGATAGGTCTACTTCCTCTGAGGAGTGTGCCTCATTTCTTTTTTGGTACATATTAAAATTCATAAAATGTTTTAAGCATTTAAATGCTTATGCTGGTCTTTAAAGTTTAGTAATGAATGAGGCTGAGCCTACATGAATTCTTGCCTACTTTGGACTTAATCTGCCATCACAGTATGCAAGGAGAGCTTCTTGTGCTGGAACCTAAGGATATGCCTCCATCTGCCCTCAGCCATAGTCCCCACATTGCTTTAGTCCGTATTTGATGCTACAATTTCTGATGTATTTTAGCAACTTGGAAGCGTGTATAGTGTGCTCGCCGCCATCTTGAATGTTGGAAACATTGAATTCTCCTCTGTGGCGACTGAATACCAGATGGACAAAAGCTACATCTGCAACCACACAGCTCTAGAAAACTGTGAGTTGTATTGTCTGCCATTCAAAACTGAAAGTCTTTCATATCTTGTATTGGGTCACATGGGGATGATTTCGAACACTGATACTCATATAGATTCTACAACAAATGCTCAGATTCAGATGTATAAAAATAAATTCATTCAAAATCCTAGTTCATTCAAAGTCCATGGAAAGTTTTAGATCAGTCAAAGATTTCTTGATGTAATCAGCTGTGGAGCTGGGTGTAATGGCACACGCCTTTAATCCAGCTCTTGGAAGGCAGAGGCAGGCGGAGCTCTGCGTTTGAAGGCAATGTGGTGTACAGGACAGGCAGGACTGCACAGAGAAATCCCGTCCCAATGAAACAAACAAGCAAAGAAAGAAGAAATCGGAAACAAATCTTTACACAGGCACACTGATTATTATGGACAACATCTCCAGGGACTAAGTTTTGATGAAAAATTGGGTTGAGTATGTTAGAAATTGGGTTTTAATATGAAAATGCTGATAAGATGTAGTTGACCTATATAAAAAAGAATTTTAATTGTCTTCTAATGTTTAGAGCCTTTAAAGGTAATAAAACTTGTGTATGCTTTTACTGCATGAATTCCATTCACTCATTTATCAAGGGTTAATTAAGTTTCATTTTCCCTACAAGAGATACACATCATTATTACACCAAATCAAATTTTCTATCAACAGTAGAGTTTGGCAAAATATTCTTAATGAATTAAGGCACCCCACTGATTTTCTCCAGTGACAGCTTTTTCCTATGTAGAATATATCCTTTCATTTTTAATATTGCTATACACCCCAATAATTCCTTATCTGTTGCAAATTTTATTTACAGCCTAGATAATCATAACACTAATTTTTAAGCATTCATTTTTTTCAATTTTACTAATTTAATTGGTCCTGACATGTCTATAAAATACCGATTTTCTGTATCCAAGGTGTTGGAAGCATTTTTGTAATAGAGCTGAGCAGATGTTTAAGGTTGACATAGTGATTGCCAAGTACCTGGAACCTTGATAATGTCAGATCTGATTCTCCATGTATAAAATAATTGGTTGGCATGTAAGATACCAGATTAAGAAGGAAAGCCATGTAACACCACTGATAAAATCAAGTCCCCCCAGTCATAATTGAAGTATTACACGTAGTCAGCAGAATAAGACACACTATTGTTAGGTTATGTTATTACGCTTTGCATTGATGAGACGAAAGCCTGAGATAAATCACTTTAAAGGGAGGAAAGATTTTGTCCTATGTGAAGTAAAACATCCAGGCAAGGAACACCTGATAGAACAAATGTTCTCACCTAGTGGTGACAAGAAAGCTTAAAGAGAGACGGAGAGTAGAATCCCAACATCCCCTTCAAGAACACAACCCGATAAGCCACTTTCTTCTACTGGGTGCAACCTGCTGAAGGTTTCAATGTCTTTCAAAAGTACCACTGTCTGGTAATCATGCCTTGAGCTTATGGCCATTGGGAGACACTTAAGACCCAACATAACATTTGTACATCAGAATAGATTTAGAAAGAAACTAAAAACATTACTTTGGTTCTGATGTCTATCCCATTTGCCCTTCTGACTGAGGATTGAGCATCTTCCCAAGAGTCCTCCTTGTTGTTTATTTTTTTTAGGAGTATAGATTTTAGTATATTTATTCTATATTATATATCTAATAACCACTTATGAGTGAGTATATACCATGTGTGTCTTTCTGTTTCTGGGATACCTCACTCAGAATGATCTTTTCTAGTTCCATCCATTTGCCTGCAGATTTCATGATTTTCTTGTTTTTAATAGCTGAATAATATTACATTGTGTAAATGTACCACAATTTCTGTATCCATTCCTCTGTTGAGGGACATCTGGGTTGTTTCCAGATTCTGGCTGTTACAAATAAAGCTGCTATGAACATGGTTAAGCAAATGTCTTTGTTGTATAGTTGAACATATTTCAGATATATGCCTAGGAGTGGTACAGCTGGATCTTGAGGTAGCCACCATAACTAATTTTCTGAGAAAGAGCCAGGTTGATGAAGACAGGGAACAGGACAGGAGCCTACCACAAAGGGCCTCTGAAAGACTCTATTGATCAAGATATCAAAGCAGAGGCTGAAACTCATAGCCAAACTTTGGGCAGAGTACAGGGAATTTTATGAAAGAGGGAGGAGATGGAAAGACCTAGAGGGGACAGGAGCTCCACAAGGAGAACAGAGCCAAAAATCCTAGGCCCAGGGTCCCTGCAGAGACTGATATCCCAACCAAGGACCATGCAAGGAGGGGACCCTGCTCAGATATAGCCCATAGACTCAGTCTCTGAGTGAGTTCCCTAGTAAAGGGAGCAGGGGCTGTCTCTGGCATGAACTCAGTGGCAGGCTGTCTGATAACTCCCCCTGGGGGATGTAGCCTTACAGAGGAAGATAATGCAGTCAGTCCTGATGAGACCTGATAAGCTAAGGTCAGATAGAAGTGGAAGAGGACCTCCCTTAACAGTGGATTGGGGAGGGGCATAGGAGGAGAAGAGGCAAGCAGGGTGGGATTGGGAGGAGATGAGGGAGGGGGGCACAGCAGAGATTCAAAGTGAATAAATTGTAATAGAAGAAAGAAGGAAGGAAGGAAGGAAGGAAGGAAGGAAGGAAGGAAGGAAGGAAGGAAGGAAGAAAGAAAAAAGGAAGAAAGAAAGAAAGGAAAGAAAGTTTAAAAAGTTGCTTTGGTCATTAAAATATATTTCTATATAGCAAGAAAACCCAATAATTCACAAAGGAGTATTATTAATATGTATGTAATTAAAATTATTCAAACTATTTCCCAGAACAGACACTTATAGTAATTTGCATTGAAATTACTTATATTTTCATTTTAAAAGAATTATCTCCATCAAAGCAGATGCTGAAACTCATAGCCAAACTTTGGGCAGAGTGTAGGGAATCTTATGAAAGAAGGGGGAGATAGGAAGACCTGGAGAGGACAGGCGCTCCACAAGGAGAGAAACAAATCCAAAAACTCTGGGCCCAGGAGTCTTTTCTGAGACTGATACTCCAACTAAGGTCCATGCATGGAGATAACCTAGAACTCCTGCACAGATGTAGCCCATGGCAGCTCAATCTCCAAGTGGGTCCCTAGTAATGGGAACAGGACTGTATCTGACATGAACTCAGTGGCTGGCTCTTTGAGCAAATCCCCCTGATGTGGGAGCAGCCTTACCAGACCACACAGAAAGACAATGTGGCCAGTCTGATGAGACCTGATAGACTAGGGTCAGATGGAATGGGAAGAAGACCTCCCAGTATCAGTGGACTTGGGGAGGGGCATGGGAGGAGATGAAGGAGAGAGGGTGGGGTTGGGAGGGGAGGAGGGAGGAAGCTACAGGGGGATACAAAGTGAATAAATTGTAATTGATAAAAAGAATTAATAAAAAGAATAATGCTAAAAAAAAAACTAATCAATTAAAAAAGGAGAGAATTCTCTCCAAATCAAGGCCAACTGCTTGTGTTTGCTATGTTTATTGTCACCATTCTCATTTGTGACATGGTTACCTCTTGCTTGAAGTGAATGACCTCCCAGCATTTATTACACATCAGAGTTGACTTTTTCTCAGCTCATTCAGAAACCACTTAACCAGTGTATCTGTGGGCTCTCAGTCTCCCCCTTGACCTCCATCAACAGCCCTGTCCTCTCATCCTCTCCTCCTCTTTCTTCTCCTTCTCTCTCATGTTCCTATCCCTTTCCCTCTCTTTTTCCTCTTTCCTCCCCGATAAATTTTTTGGTTGGCTCCCCTTTTCTCTGTATAAAGAGCATCAAGACTAAGACTGTTTCCAAAGCATTGTCTATAACAATATTTTCTCATGTAAAATGCCGTGCATGTAGAAGACACTCAATGAATATATGTCAGATGAATGAACTATATCTGAATGGACACAAAACATACAGGTCAGTGGATGATAACATTCAGAAGATAACATTCAAATGAAATGACCTCAATGACATTACAATTCAATTAAGACAGCCAACTGCTAACTGTGAGATAGCTAGGGGACATGAATTCTCTCCAAACATCAAGATTTTTAAAGTTTTATTGCATTTGTTTATTTACTTATGTATTGCATGACATGTGTAAAGGTAAGAGGACAATTTGGTTCTCTCCTTCTACCATGTAGGTCCCAGGGTCAAACCCAGTCACCAGGCTTGACATTAAACACCTTTACCCAGTAAACTTTCTGTCACCTCTAAAGAATTCTAAATGCTACAAATTTCAGTGCATGAAAGTACCTAACGAAACACACTTACATAATCCTGAGGTGAGAAAGGACTGAATATCAGAAGAACAAAGACAAATGATCTTTAAAACGAGCTTTAACTATAATATTTAAAATTCTTTCATAGTAAAAGAAAAATACTTTGACATAAATGAACATTTTTGTGAAAATGGAAATGAGGGAAAACATTTGCAACATATATTTCAAAACATCGCTCTAAGCATAAAGACATCGTAAAACCTGACTAAGAAAAGATGAGTATGGAAGGTAGTCTTTCGAAGAAGAATCATTTTGGGGAGAAATCTTTACAAGAAATAATTAAAAGAAATAGAACTGTGGTTCTCGACCTTCCTAATGCTGCAACCCTTTAATATAATTTCTCATGTTGTGGTGAGGCCAACCATAAAATTATTCCATTGCTACTTCATAACTGTAATTTTGCTACTGTTCTGACCTGCAGTGTAAATACCTGATATGCAGGGTGTTTGATGCGTGCTCCCTGTGAAAGTGTCCCTTAAGGAGTCATGACCCACAGGTGGAGAACCACTGAAATAGAAGAGTTTTTTTCCCACCAAATTGGGTACTTTAAAAATGAAAAATGACTGGCATCTAAAAATTGTATTTATCTTTTTGGACTTTCATTGGCCAGTAAGAACAGAATTAGCAAGTATTTGGAGGGCAATTAAACAGCTGTGTCAAAAAGTTTAAATGTGAGTTAAATAGGTTGGAACAATTGTAGAGTTTCTCTGATCTTTTATGCTCAAGATATTTATGTTAGTATTTTCTTTACAATTATGCACATGGTGAAACAACTTAAATATGCAGTGATTTTATTTTATTATCTTAGTATGTCTTGTGTGTGCAGTCATGGCTGCTGTGAGTTTGCCTGTGCAGTGGCCAGCAAGCGATGCTACAAAGCAGATGTCACAGTTTGTTTGTTTTTTCGTTTCCAAGTTTACTTTTTTTAAATTTTTTATTAATTACACTTTATTCATTTTGTATCCCCCCATAAACCCCTCCCTCCTACCCTCCCGATCCCACCCTCCCTCCCCTTTCTGCATGCATGCCCCTCCCCAAGTCCACTGATAGGGGAGGTTCTCCTCTCCTTTCTGATCATAGTCAATCAGTTCTCATCAAAAGTGGCTGCACTGTCATCCCCTTGGCCTGGTAAGGCTGCTCCCCCCTCAGGGGGAGGTGATCAAAGAGCAGGCCAATCAGATTATGTCAGAGGCAGTCCCTGTCCCCATTACTATGTAACCCACTTGGACACTGAACTGCCATGGGCTACACCTGTGCAGAGGTTCCAGGTCATCTCCACGAATAGTCCTCGGTTGGAGTATGAGTCTCTGGGAAGTTCCCTGTGTTCAAATTATCTTGTTCTGTTGCTCTCCTTGTGGAGTTCCCATCCCCTCCAGCTCTTACTATTTCCCACTTCTTACATAAAATTCCATTCACTCTGATTTTTAAAATTACTAGCATATTGATATAAATGCTACAATGTTGTTCTGCAATTTTAGCTGTTAATAGATAATGAAAATGGGAAATGTTTAGAATATTGTATTGCGATACAGTGTTCATGCAGACTAATGACTATGGCCATACCAATAAGGAAAGAGAATTGTGTTAACTTGGAACACAGAATTTCCTTACGCACCATATGTGGCTCTTGAAAGTGAAAAAATAGGTCAAGACAGAGTTCAGTGATCTTGGTCACAAATCAAAACTCATTGTCAAAGTCTTAAGAGTACACTCAAAATGTTGGAAAATTTTTTAGATGGAGTAACTGATTTGAAGATGTAGCCTCTCTTCATGCTAAAGGCTAAAAATGCCTATTGTAGGTGAGGCGATGGCTCAGTGGTAGAGCCCTGACTCAGTATACACAAAGCCCTGGGCTCAGCCCTCTGCACAAAAAGATGCTTTTCATTTTAAAAAAAAATTAATTTTCCTAACTGAGTTCCAGCATCATTAAATGTAAATCCCTATGCTATCTGGATATCATTAAATATTAAACATGTTTATGTCAGTATCATGTTTTGACAAAATTTAGCACTTAGAATATGAAACAAAAAGAAAGCTTAATAAGTACAGGGGAAAAAAGAAGTACAGAAAAGTCAAGTCCCTGCTGTCACATGCGCATCTCAAAATATCATTCACTTTTCTTGTTTGAGGACCCCTCTAAGCCCTAGGTAGCTTTCTAATTCATTTTTACATTCTAGAAATAAGCACATAATAGTTATATTAAAATTATACCAAAAGTATCCATTGGGCTTTTGAAATATTTAGCCTAACTTGGTGAACTTAGTGTTAGCGTCTGCACACTGTCAGCTGTTTCCTTCTTCACACAGTCTGTGTTGTTGTGTGGCAGCAGGCAGCACCCACAGTTTGGCCAGGGAAGGCGCGAAGAATCAAGGGGCAGGGAGACTAGTGCTGAGCGGTGGCTCCTTTGGGCACTCTGAAACGGTCACATGTTTATGTAACGTCAGGTGCTGCAGCTGAATTTAGACATTTCTGTTTTCTGAAGCCAGAATCATTTTCCCTGTCTTCTAACAATAATCTATTGGTTTTACAGCTGCCTCTTTGCTTTGCATTCAAGCGGATGAGCTACAGGAAGCTCTTACTTCACACTGTGTGGTCACTAGAGGAGAAACCATTATACGACCCAACACAGTAGAGAAAGCTAGTGATGTCCGAGATGCCATGGCTAAAACTTTATATGGACGTCTCTTCAGCTGGATAGTCAACTGTATTAACAGTTTGCTGAAGCGTGACACATCAGCAAGGTGAATGTCCTATACAACTGGTTTTTTGCAAATGTTACACACTGTGTCTGTTTTGGATTTGTATGAGTCCCTTTGAATATGTTTCTGATTTGGTTTAATTTAATTATCAAAGTTGCAATCCTATTGATATGCTTCATCTCCTAGTAGCACATCACATTATCTTTCCGTGTAACTGAATTATCTTGATTGCTATAATGAAAACTGTAGCAATTCTAGTAATCACGGTAGAAAGTGATTTTAAGTGTGGCATCATGTTATCAGTTCAAATGTTCTTTTAATTAAACTATGTACTGTGAAGTTTGTACCATTTTACACTTGTATAAAATGTCAGTCCAGCAGTTCTTTGTTTTTGTTTCATGGCCTTAAATTAAACCATGACTACAACACAAACTATCTTTTTATCTTTAACTCTCACTGCACGCTACAGGAATAGGTGCTGTGACTTCTAAAGAAATTTGATTCTAAAGTGGACGAGAGCATGGTAGGTTCTAGTCATCATAGCCTGCGTATGAGCACTGGCACCTTGCATCTGTGGTCCTCCTGGACCATTATTTTAGAAAGAAAGGGATCATAGCCACCATTGATTGGAAAGTCTTCACATTCTATCTGTAGTTTTTCTGCCATAGGTCATAGGATTTTTAGAAATGTTACATGTGGAAAAGCAAGATGGATGCCTACATTAAGATGACCTTGTCTTTATTTGCACCTGCTTATTAAGTACAAAAAAATCATCTTACACGTACTTCACGGAAGCAATTCTTCATTTATTTCTACTAAAGTGCATCCTATATTATATTACAGAGCTAGGCTATCTAGATTCTCCATTGTTGCCCTGTGGTCCTAACTTCCTGGATGTCACAATGTCCCTGAACTTCCCCAGAGCCCTACTAAGCTGAGTCTCAGATCATAACACTTTTGCCCAGAATGACTTAATAGCAAAATGACTTTTTGTTCACTTGTGGTTATGTCTATGACATTAAGAATCTTGTAAACATGGAGATATCCAGAAATGTTTTGACATTTGTATATTTCACATAATGAAAACAAGATGTTTAGAACTGTTTGCCCACTTTTTTAGCTCTTCGCTGCAGGTTCAGCACTAGATGACACCCAGAAAGGGCAATGCTAAAAATCTCATTGCTGCATGTCTGCTGAATAAGAATTGCCCTTATGTTAACCAGAACTAGCCAAGACTTAGTTTCTTTTAATTACAATTAGAAAAAAAAACCTGAACCAAGCCCTGCTGTGATAGTTTAGTCTGTCAGGTTAAACACTGAGATTTCTTGTTGACGCTGTTGTTGCTGTTAGAGGTGGTCTGTTTGTGCACCCCGGCTGACCTAGAACTCTCTCAGCCCCCTTGTTTTGGGATTACAGATGTGTGACACCACACTCAGTGGGACTAAAGTTTTGGAAATCTAATTTTTACTCTGAGCTCAGACTCAGTCACTTTCCCCAAACATGGGAGCACCTGAGGAGTTCATCCAGTCCCACATCTTCAGCATGTAACACCAAGAATGGCCTACACTACTTAAAAGGTGGACACAAAGGAAAGCTTTTGTAGTTTTTTTTAAGTACATACTAAAATTACTTCATTCTATCATTTATTGAGAGAATCAACAATTTTAATCAGTTACCTAATTTTCAGTGAACAGCACTAACAATTTGGGATAGCAGAAAGAATTGTGCATTTGAGATAAAACAATATTTAATTGTTTTAAAGTTTGTCTGTTTGATTGATTCACACCCTCCACCCCCGTGTTAGTTTTACTTGTTTGGTTTGAAGCAGGATCTCACTATGCAGCCAGATCTGAACTGTCTCCTAAGTGCCAAGAATACAGGCGTGTACCACCAGAGCCGGCTTAAAGTGTTTAACTATCAGATGAATCTCTACATATTTACATCTTTCTCTATGTCATCATTTGATCTGTATTTAAATATGAATTAGCAACTAAATAAAAAACAAATAACAGTCCTTTGAGAATGATTAAGACACTTGTAGAAAGACCTTTTAAAGTTTAAGAGAATGTCTGCCTCTTTGGTACAGTTTTGATTATCTGTATGTTTGCAGTGCTCTGAGTGTTGGCCAGGTTATGATTCTTGGCTCAAACAGGCCTGTGACTTTCTGCTTCCAGCCCATGAAAGGAAGTTCCTTACTTCGGTTTAGATGTGTAAGAGGATGGGAGTGGGTTCTACAGTAAGAATACTGTTCTATGTGTATATTAAAACAAAGATGACAGAGGTAAAACTAGTTTTAATATACACATAGAACAGTATTCTCCTTACTCTAGAACCCACTCCCATCCTCTTACACATCTAAAGAGAAGTAAGGAACCTAGCCAGTACTCAGAGACACTTGTTTAATTAACCCAGCCATCAATGGGAATTCCAGGACATTGTGCTATGCATTGCCTCCTAAGGAAATGAGCAATAACTCAAGGAACACTTCTTTAAATCTTCCAGTGGGAATGAGGAGCTAAGCATCGGCATTCTTGATATATTTGGCTTTGAAAATTTCAAGAAAAATTCCTTTGAACAGCTGTGCATTAACATCGCAAATGAACAGATCCAATATTATTTTAATCAGCACGTGTTTGCATGGGAACAGGTATGTTGAAGTAAGGACTAAAGATGCATGTGTGTGCTAGTGCATAATTACATAAAGTAGATGATATGCCTTAACATGCAAAGACAAAGAAAACATTTACTTTTCTCTGTGCCAGCAGGAAAAAGACAAACAGAAAATACAGTGTGAACTTAGTGTGACTAGACCAGATGTCTAGACTAGACTAGATGCTCTGAATCCTTCACTCCAAATGAGTATACTTCTCTTTAAAACTTAACGACTTTGAGCCTCCACAAACAAAAGCATTTTCTTTGTGTCTACCAGTATCTATTTTTTAAAGAATGCATTGCTGAAATTCTGTTTGAAATTTCAATATTCATCTACAGTGCATTAAACTTTCTCAAATCCTAGTATCTAAACAACAGAATGCAAGATAATGGGTTAGATGCAAATGCCATGAAGCAGTAATTTTGTCAGGTACAATGTGTAATTTATGGTTCAGCTCAGTAATATTTCTCTTTAGAGAAATCAGAGACTTGAATTGCATTTGGCACACTGTCATATTAAGACTATTTAAATTGTTTTATTAAATCTAAAAGAGCTATATTTAATATCAGTCCGCATGCCATTTATCACCTTCAAATTATGTTACTTTGTTTGGTGTTTACAGAATTAGAACTGATGTTTTAATTTAAATTATGTAAATTAGAGGTGCTTGAATTTTTTCATTTAGAAGGTTCAGACTTCATTTCCAAACTGCAGTTTGGAAACACTGGCCACAAAGCCTGTCGGTCTTGGCACTTCTTCGTCCAAGGAAAGGACACAAACCTATGAAACTATCTTTGTTTGCTTAGTCCTCTCCCTGCCCCATGCCAGGTTCTAGTAGATATGCACTGTTCTGCTCTTCCTAACCCTCTTATGGTCCTCTTTCCCCATCTCTCGATTGGTATCCTCCCAATGCCCAGTTGTGTCATTAAATCACTTTAAAAATAAGAGCAAGCAGAAGCCCTAAAGCCCTTCTTTACTCTGCTTGTCCAAAACAGCATGGTTAATATGCCTTTCACTACACTGACTTCTTCCCCCACCTCAAGAAATGTAATACACAGCATCTGTTTCAGCCTCCCCTGCTACACTGAAATGGCTCCAGCCTTACTATTGATATGGCCTTTTTCACCAGCCCATAAACTCCTCTGTCCAAGAGCAAGATCATCTCATAATTATTTTAGTGCTCTCAGAGGCTGACATATCACAAGTTTTTAATACATATTAATTAAATTAGTGTAATTTTGCTCTAATACCTCAATATAGAACCCTTTCAAATCAGAGACTGAAATCAGTAAACTTGTTTGCTATAGATTTTACTGTAAAGCAGCAGCGCCTCCTCATCACCCATCTGATAAGTTCATGGCTTCGTGCTGTCAAACCACATCAATGTTTTCTTAAAGAGTTAGAACCTGCTTTCACTGTAACTAGCCTTAGACCCAGGTGCAGATGTATCAAGAAGTTACTGATATTTACAACATATAGAATGTTGATGTTCATAGAGCACTTGATTAGTAAACTTTCATTTCACCCATGATCCTAATGCTTTCCTTTTGTCTTTGGGTTTGCTAATTAAAAAAAAAAAAACAAAAAAAAACAAAAAAAACACACAACTATCTTACAGCAACTTTTAAATATCTTTGAGAAATCTAAAAGAAATTCTTCCAAATAACCAACTCCCACCCCCGCAAATGCCTTAGACAGTAACTTCATAAGTAAAGCACTTGTCTTACTTAAACAACAACAAAAAAATGGATTATTCCATGACTGAATTCTAAACAATGATTTACTATGAAATTATTTTCCAGTTAATGCAATTTCAATTTTAATTTTGTTGCAGTGCTTCATTGGATACTGTAGGAAAGTTGGTTACAAATATATTTTGAGTATCATCCCCTGGTTTTACTCCCACTATTTTGTTTTAGGAGTAAAACATCTTTTTGTTATAAACCAGAATAGACCACACTGTATTTGTTACATTTTCACTACTGTCACCAAAATATCTAAGAAAGCAACTTAAAAGGAAAAATTACTTTGTTTAAGAAATCTGAAGAGATAGTAAGACCTGGAGGGGATAGGAGTTCCACAAGGAGAGCAACAGAACCAAAAAATCTGGGCACAAGGGTCTTTTCTGAGACTGATATTCCAACAAGGACTGTTCATGTATATAACCTAGAACTCCTGCTCAGATGTAGCCCATGGTAGCTCAGTGTCTAAGTGGGTACCCTAGTAAGGGGAACAGGGACTGTCTCTAACATGAACTCAGTGGCTGCCTTTTTGATCACCTCTCCCTGAGTGGGGAGCAGCCTTGCCAGGCCACAGAGGAAGACAATGCAGCCAGTCCTGATGAGACCTAATAGACTAGGGTCAGATGGAAGGGGAGGAGGGCCTCTCCTATCAGTGAACTTGGAGAGGGGCATAGGAGGAGATGAGGAATGGAGGGTAGGATTGGGAGAGAATGAGGGAGGGGAAATAGCTAGGATACAAAGTGAATAAACTGTAATTAATATAAAAAATAAAAATTAAAAAATCTTAAAATTAAAAAAAAAGAAAAGAAATCTGAAGGTTCTATCTGCAGCTGCTTCCCTGTGTGTGTGGGCAGGGCTTTGGGAAAACTGACGGAGTATCTTACCTTGTGGCTGACAGAAAGCAGGACAGAACTAGAGGCTTGCTATAACCTTCAAAGAAATGTCCACTATCTTCAGACAGGGCCAACCTCCTGAAGTTCCCATCACCTTCCAAAACAGCACTTCCAATTGGAGGTCAAGCTTCAATGTGTGAGCTTTTAGAGATATCACAAAGCACAGAATGTAATAAAACATGCTTAATGACCATTTTACAATGGTATCCACATTAATAGCTTGTCAGATAGACAGCGTTACATTTCTTGGAAAGTTGATGTCCCAGTAATGACCATTTCTGCTGTCTATTATTCTGTTTCCCCTCTGAGAAAGATTCAAGCATCCTCACCTGGGTCCTCCCTGTTACTTCGATTTGTTGGGTCTGTAAATTATAGTGTCCTTATCCTGTCCTGTATTGCTAATATCCACTTACAAGTGAATACATACTATGTGTTTCTGGGTCTGGGTTACCTCACACAGGATGATAGTTTCTGCTTCCCACCATTTGCCTATAAACTTCATGATTTCCTTGTTTTTAATAGCTGAGTAGTATTCCATTGTGCAAATGTACCACACTTTTTTTATTCATGCTTCAGTTGAGGGACATCTGGGTTGTTTCCAATTTCTAGTTATTACGAATGAAACTGCTATATTGTGTGGAGGGGACCTTTTGAGTGTGCCCAGGAGTGGAATAGCTGGGCATTGAGGTAGAGCTATTCCCAATCTGTAGGCTGACATTTTGTTCAGGGTCCTATTGACAGTGTCCTTTTCCTTACAGAAGCTTTCAGTTTCATGAGGTCCCAACACCCTCAATATGATATGACGATTTTTAGTACTTATTTTGGGTCATTTGATCTCACTTTGTTTATACAGTTTTTAATAAAGATAATTACAATGAAATGTACAGTTAGAATAGAGCCATATAATTGCTGTCATTTTGTTTGTGTTTAACTGACATACAAAGCAATGAGTTTTATTATGGCTTTTTTATGTAAACATTATTTTTATTAGTGTCCTACCCTTATTTCTCTCTCCCATTCCCTATCCCTCCTGTCTTGCACCTTACACTCCAAGTAGTCCCCTGCCCACTTTCACATCAAATATAGTTAGTTGTTTCTCCTGTCTTCTATAAAACACTTCTTTCTCTTATGATTCCCTTTCTAGTTAACCATAATGTATGTATAAAAAAATTAAACATTAAAACTCATACATGGAGCCATTTGTCGGAGTCCAGCTGATTTTACTTAACACAACATTTGCAAATCGGTTCCCTTCGAGGTTGAGCAGCTGCAGGCTCATTTATTCCGGAAGAGAGAGTGGGTTATATAGCTTTGGGCAACCAATCAGGTTCCTCCACACCATCTTGGAGCCTGCCATTGGTTGTTCATCTTGGGCAGACTCTCCAGTGTGAGGTCACGAGGTCACGTGCTTTCTGCCAGCCTGACTGCTTCTGTAGTCACATCAGCAGAACAGACCATGAGTGCCACAAGCCACGATCTCTAAAGACCCTTTGCCAGGCATGTCCACAAGTTATTTTTTTAGAAGTGTTTTGTTTTGGTGTGGTTGTTTGTTTGTTTTGTTGTTGGGTGAGGGTTTTATTCTTGCTTGGGATTGCTTTAACTATCTTTTGTGTTTCCATGTGATTTTTTTTAAATATTTTTTTCTGTGCTATGAAGAATGTCACTGAGATTTTGATGAGTATTTCATTGACTCCCCAAATTGCTTTTGGTAATACACCCATTTGCATGTTATAGAGTTTGCCCAGCCCATAAACACTGGAAGTTTTCCTTTGTTTAATGCCTTCTTCTGCTTATTTTTTCTAGCGTCTTACAGATTTCATTGCAGAAGTCTTTTACCTCCTTCTTTTGGTTCATTCTTAGTTATTTTAACTTCTTTGAAACTCTTGCCAGTGGGACTTGCTTTCTTGGCAAGTTTGTTGTTGCTATATAAAAAAGCTACTGATTTTTGTGCATTGATTTTATAAACTGCAATTTTGTTTAAAAGTTCATCAGATCTGCAGGTTTTCTAGCAGGGAATGGGAATTCTGTAGAATGTTTCTCTTCCATGCACCATAATCTGGGTTCAATCCTCACCACTGCACCACTCTCCCTGCAAGCCTCACCCAGCTTCCTTTGCTGTCGGAATTCCAGACCTTCTCTTCTCAGCTCTTGGGGGTGCTCCTATGGGCAGTTCACTGTCAAGGCACTGGGGCAGCGTGCCAGCTGGGCCTACTTGCTGGATTTTCTGCCTGGAAAATTACAGCATAGAATTGACAAACTAAACTATGTTTTTTTTTCTTTTACAAAGTTTTAATTACAAAAAAAGATGAGAAAGAAATCCTTGAAAGTAAAATATTTCAAAATATAGAAAATCAATTTT